AGTTTTACCGATCCATTGGACAGATGAAGTAGAGTTCATGTTTCTTGACCTCGGCATATTAAAGGAGGGCATGGTCAACATTTTCCCCTGCATGTTACGTTATTACTTTACACAAATTTTAATAATGAGTTTTGCGTCTTAGTTATTTTACGCAGCTATAAACACGTGTTAATTAAAACAATTAATTTACTTTCCAGGAAACTTGTAATCCGTTGTTAAATCGGAATGTATTCATGCATTGTTGCGATATAAGTTTATTGTCCACTAGTTTGGTTGCCGGTGCATGCCGACCTCTGCATTAAACAAAACTTTCCACAAAGAAGTTCCGATTCTAAATAAAATATTTAAGTACATTGTTTAAAAAGCACTCCGCTCAATATACTATTGGTAACGGACTTTTTTCATTTTCAGCCTCGTTCTTGTAGGTCTGTTTTATATTGTCTGCCCGATTTTTAAATGTGACAAAAAGCCAAAAAGATTAGCACGAGTGGGGTTCGAACCCACGCGGAAATAATTCCATTGGATCTTAAGTCCAACGCCTTAACCACTCGGCCATCGTGCTTTCATACTCCTGGAAGTCTATAATATATTTCAAGCAATTTAGGAGACACTCTCTGTACATATTAGATCATAAAAGCTCCATTGCCTTAATTCTTGTGATTTCTTAACTATAGTGGTAACGCCTTTGTCAAATTGTAATTTCCTCTTTGTAGGAATATTTTCTGTTTCAGATAGTCTAATGGATTTTTAAAAAGTGATAGCATAGACTTGACTTATTCCTTTGTTGCCCCTGGGGAGCAAAGGGCTGCATTCATGCCTAGTATACCTGAGAAAAAATATAATGATTAGCACGAGTGGGGTTCGAACCCACGCGGAAACAATTCCATTGGATCTTAAGTCCAACGCCTTAACCACTCGGCCATCGTGCTTTCATACTCTTTGAAGTCAATAAGATATTTTTCATAAACATAATTAGTATGTTTCAGTTTAATGTGACAAACTTACAGGGGGCCTATAAACATTTATAAAATAAGCTTTTAAATATCATTTTAAAAAAATAAATTTATTTCATTAGATTGATTTAGATATCGCAGTAAAGGCCTAGTAAATTCATGTGTTGCTCAACAATCAGTTTCCTAAAGGCCATTTAACCACATTTTTAGACAGGTTTAATAGATTCAGATTATCGTGTACACGTTAACTTAGTGCTATATATTCTATGTAAGACTTAATTTAAGTTAGGAAAATGCAGGGGCGTAGCGAGGGGGGGGGGGAGGCGGGGGGTGCGGACCGCACCGAGTGACACCATTTAGGGGAGTGACACCAAGGCAAAAAATAACAAAATATATAGAGAAAAACTTGAGGGGGGGGGGTGCAAAGCGAAAGTTTGAGGGGGGGGGGGGTTCAAATCGAAAGTTTGAGGGGGGGGGTGCAAATTGAAAACTTGAAAGTTTGTCCCCGGGAAGGGGTGACACAATTAAGTGCCGCACCGGGTAACACCCGACCTCGCTACGCCTGGGGGAATGTACACATTAATTTTGTGCTATATATTCTATGTAAGACTTAATTTAAGTCAGGAAAATATCATAGGGCCTATCGTGTATAAATTAACTTAGTCCTTTATATTCTTAGTACAAAATCTATCGATAGCCTACACTAAAAATAGACGCAGGACACACGTGACAAGTCCCTGGGTTGCCGGCTATGGCAGTAATCCAGCAGTTGACCAGATGACCACAGGACACCATCTCCACGTTATCTCCCTATCTCTCCACGCTATCTCCCTATCTCTCTTCATCAACACTTGGCGGGCTACGTCACGGCGAGCCCGGGGGTCAAGGGTCGAGAGGCTGCCACCACCGCTGGGGTATCATAAGCTATCGCTGTCCAAGCCTTTGTTTACCCGAGATACGCTGGTCACCGGATGGACATTGACCAATTGCAGGGGTTCTCAAGACAAGCATGGAATACACAAGGAGCAAGAAAAGAAAAAAAAACTAAAAACATCTGGCGTTGAGAAATAGAAAAAAATAAAGCGGGAGTGATCTCCCCTAATATTTGTATAAATGCATATGCGTTTTTTTTTTGAGAAATCGGAAATAGCGTAAAGTACTACTTCCGGTCAACGGAAATTACTCAAAATTCGAAAGAAGGCTACCCCCCCCCCCCCACCCCACGCACACAACCTCCTCCGGACAGTTTTAAATGCCGCTACCTGGAGATAAATATCTAATAGAAAAACCGGGTAGCCTTTTGTAAAGAGAAGAGAGCTAAAAGTCACCAGAATAGCCCGTGTAACGGGTACCGATGGCTAGTTATACACATATTGTATTTAACATTTAAACAGTCTGTTTTAAACACTGACGTTAAAGATGATTTATTCTGAGCAGATTCAACCGTTTTAGAACCGTAATTAACATACGGGGATTCCCATTTCCGATATCACATTGTTAAAGAAGAGCTCCGATTAGGGGAGGGTATCAGTGTAGATACTTGTGTGGGTTGTAGCCCCTGATTGCAATTTAACCTCAGTATCATCCGCACTTATACAGAGTGTTTGATTAGAAAGTGTGATGTAATAATTATGGCTCGTCCTTGATAGGGCACGATATCGTTGAGATGTGACACTGCTGATGGAGCGAATGTTGGTGTATTGAAAGGTCAAGGGTCAGTGTGGTAACATTGTATTATATATCATCATCTTTTCCCGTTCGTGTAACAACACAGATGGGGCAGGTGAAGTAGAGTTCATGTTTCAATTCCCTCGGCTCATGAAGGGATAATGTGGTCAACACTATACCCAGCTGACTTTGCTTTCCCTAACGTGAGTTAGGCACCCATCAGAGCTGTGTGGACTCAGGGACGATCTACTTGAACCTGGATTCGAACTTGAAACTTTTCGGGTTAACAGTCGTGCTCTCTACCGCACCTTGCCATATATATATATATATATATATATATATATATATATATATATATATATATATATATATATATATATATATATATATATATATATATATATATATATATATATATTAGAGAACCCCACAACAACAAAAAATCAACAATTAAGTAAACAAAAATCTAGAGCAATTCATTTAGTATCAAATTTTAATTCATAAAAATTAAAATAGTCAAATTATTATTTTAAAAAAGCATTTAAATACATTCAAAATTCACTGCGCGAAATAAAAAAATACAAAATAAAAACTTACATATGTACAAATCAATACAAATAATTTAATACATCAGACTAACCCAGTGAAGACAGGGCCTTGTTATTCGCAAGTGCGCAGGTATTATGCAAGATGAAAATGGCGATAATAATGTGAAGTATCAAGGTGGAGGGTGGGGAGGGGGTGTCTACCCCAGGAGTTTCCTCAGTGTACATATTTTCAGGAGAAGTAACGAAATCGAAAGACAGCACCTTTAAATATATACACAGGAGAAAACAGGGGCGACAATTCAAGTCCACAATAGGCTACTATAGTAGACTGTGACTGTCATAAGCTTTTTATTTTCCTATTAGTTTTATGTTCCTAGTACTGAAAGCACACAAAACTCACAGCAAAAAAATACACTCTCGCTGATGGTAGAGTTTTTACATTAACAATCTTCAAACTATCTTTAACTTTCAAATCACCGATTTTACACATCATACTATTATCAAGTAGCTAATCATTTCATATCATTTAATACTAAACTCTTATTTCATCAAGTATCAATCATTGAACAATCATATAATTAATTATTGAACAATCACTCCATTAATGATTAAACTATCATAACATCAATCATTGAACTAACATATCATTATAACAATTGTACCACATTCGAGCAATCACAAATTGTTTACACCACAAACACAGAAACCTTACATTCCTCATTACACATAATGATCTCAGCTCACCAATTGTTTACATAAACAAAAAATAAATTAGTTCTCGGGGTAGGTAGTAAGTAAAACAAAAAAAATTATTAAACAATACATTTGCATAAAAGGTGAGTGGTGGTAGTGGGGAGTGTGTAGGTTGTGAGTGGAGTGAGAGTGGGTAGGAGTGGGGTAAAAGTGTGTGGGTGTGGGGCGGGAGTGGGGAGAGATAGGGGTGATCAGGGGGCAAGAGTGTGGGGTGGGAATGGGGAACAGCATAAAAAAATTAAAAACAAAATGCATGAGACGATCAATAACAATTTTCAACATAAAAATAACAGCCAAAAAAACATATTTTACAGTAAGCAACCACATCAATTTACTGTCAGTGTCAAGTTTTGGGGTATTGAAAGTCATAAGATGTAAAGATAAAATAAATAAAAGAGTCCTCTTTACATACAAGCAATATCATTACTATACAATTATATATATACATTAATATCGTAAGTGGTTTGGTCGCATAATACATGAACACATAGTCTTTTTACCATCATATCCAGATTTTTAGTACAAGCAACGAAAATATAAAACCAAATTTCACTGCTAAATCTGGGGAGTCTAAAAATAGTATCCCATTATGTGGTTTTCACAACTGAATTAACATCCTCATTTTACTTATATTTGTCTTAAATTAAACGAATGTATAGTTAAATTGTACATAAAATTGAAACCAGATTTTTATAGCGTTTACAGCTAAATGTAACGTCGCATTAACGAGAGTTTTCTTTGGTAATGTAGCTTATGACATAGGCCCCCAACAAGGTAACTTTTAAACAATGTATTGATTTATAAGAAGACCCACCGTTCATATTGGTCATATCGTTTGAGAATGGCTGCCTTTCATGTTAGAATTAATCGGATAAGAATTATTCATTTGAAGGCACTGTATAAAAATTGAAATGTTGCCTTAGTCTTGTAAAATAGTAGTCAGTTAAAAAAATTAAAAGTGAGACATCTTTCCATGAAAAAGTTGGATTGCATAAAGTTAGCTTGATTAGTATATATAAAAAAGGAATCATAAGTTATGGGAAAGTTTTGATGAGGTGTGGGTAAGGGAGGGGGGTGGGGGTGATTTTGAACGACTTTTATGTTTTGCATAATGTAGATGATTATACAATGACGTCAGCACCGATAAACGTGTCCATTCTGACCTCATCCGGGTTGATGACGTAGCTTCCGGAAGTCGTCGTAGATGCGTCGTCGTCCATCGACGTCACAGACAACTGACGCGGCGTCAGGAAGGTGCTGAGCTTGTTACTGGAGTGGGAGATGGCGGGCAGGCCTTTGTTACCCGGAAACGGATGTTGTTCCGTGTACTCGGAAATGTTGGGGCGGGAAAACGGCCGGGCGCCCTCGTAGCTGGGGGTTAACTTCTGCTTGGGCGGGATGTCTGGGGGGAATGGCTTCCCGGGGTGCTGGGAGAACCTCACGTGGTATGACGCCCTCCCGGGGTTTTCTGGAATAACATGCTTCCGTGGTGGCTGTTGTGCGTCGTCGCTCCTACGGCGAGAGTTGAGGGGTGGTGACAGTTCACCTGGAATTAGGAATTATTAAATCTTTACAATACGTTAAAGAAAACATCACACACATAACTTGAGAAAATTCTGAGATCATAAAACATCAAGAAAAATGTATTTTAACGATTAGGTAGTTTCACATCAGTAATAAGACATTCAATTCTTGCAATATTACAATTTAAAGAGCCAAGTACTATATAAGCTTGTATATAACTACTTTTTTTTCTTTTAAAGTATATTGTCATAATACTATTCTAAATCATTTTTAAAAAATTTTGTGAATTATTAAATTCAGAACATGTGCATTGAAATTAAATTTTATAAATTTAATTAAAGTGAGTAACAAAATTGTATCTAAGAAAAAATGGCTGACGGAAATTACCTTGCATAATTTGTTCAAAGTTGACGTCATCGACGCTGTTGCCACGCCCACTGTCACTGGTGGTCGTGTCAGCGGAAGTGTCACTAGTGACGTCATCACTCTATAAAGCAAAAAAAAAGTTTTATTAGAAATTTGAGCATCTGACATAATATGTTGTTAAACTAATTAGTTAAATCATAATTATTTACGTTGTGAAAAGCTGTACATAAAAGCACTTTTAACACATAAAAGCATGCTAAATGAGGATGACGTGAAATGAAGCAAATTTGTCTGGTAGTCTTAAGGTGTTAGTAAAAAAAAATTTATTCGTTGTTTTTTTTTCTATTTAAGTAAACACGTAAAAAGTTATGATGAAGTTTAATGCAATAAGGAGTAAAAACTGATGAAATTTTACAAATAAAAGGGTAACACTCTCTTAAAATCAGCCTTTCTTTTCGCGCCTATGCTAAACCAAAGAAAAGTTTACAAAGGGTGTTCAAGTGACCTTTGCAATAATGTAAAACATTTTAATTTTGTTGTCGAAAAATAAAAGTTTTGAGTTCAGGGGAGACAAGTCACTGTTACCGTCTTCACGCGAGATTTAAATAACGCGTGAAATGGCAGAACGTGCAGATATGCGGGATTGGGACCGGTGCGAAATGTAACAAGGTCAGGAATAAGTAGCTAGGTAAGTTTAGGTCAAGGGGAGGCTATCTCCTTAGATAGGATTAAGGAACTTGAAACTTTGATATGGATGGAAAGCAACGCAGATTTTGGGCCTTTTATTTTTTTGTGGCGACTACATTGTGAAATATCAAATCTAAATATATTTTTTTTAAATTTTACTAGAACAAAAGATTATCGACACCCTCCCCCTAAGCCAACACTATTGAAAATTATGACGGGCGTATTCATTGGGGTGTGGATTTTTTTTTTTTTTTTTTTTTTTTTTTTAAAGTTCATTTAGCTAAATAAATAAGAATATGCATAGACTCAAAATTAAATGGATGTCAATTGCTCCAACATTGGAAAACACAGTAAAATCCAGTTAAAAATCTATTATGAAAACTAAATAGTTCAGTCTTTTAATGTTAATGTTTTCGATTATAGTTATTTATCCAGAGAATATTCAAAACAAAGAAATATTGTACATAATATTTCATTTAAAATTATTACAAGTTAAGCCGATTTTTTTTTTAAATTTAATTGACACCACATCAATTCTATCATAATAAATTATGAAACGTTTAAAAATTTACCAAAAAATGTATTTTAAAACTAAATTTGACATCATATAAAAATAAGAAAAGTTTGTTTTTTTTTTTTTAAATGAACTTGACATACAAAAATAGAACGCGAGTTTGACGAGGCCGTGACTTCAGAAGGCAGAAGAGGGTAAATATAACACCTTCTTTCAAATTTGGGACTGGCCTTTGCATAGGTAACTCTATATAGCCAGGTGAGGGTTAGCGCTTACACGACAGGTAACCTGACCGTTTAGGGGAGGTAACCCGACCGTTTAGGGGATTGCTGACAATTAAAGCTAGTTTGCTTCAATACAACACAGTTAGGTAGTCTTTAGTATCGAAGAAAAACCTACTATTTAATTGAATGTACAAAGTACATTTAATATTTAGTCATTAGAGGTACTTTTTCCTTTTGTGTGGGTTTAAAAAAAACGAATAAACTTATTATATTATAGAGAGATTGTTTAAGAATGTACCTAGTGTATCTAATTTGTGATTTAAATTCAACTTAACTAAAACTATGCTAACTTGTTACTGTAAACCCCCCCCCCCCCCCCCCTCACCCACCCCGGCATTTTTTTATCATCTGTTGTAAGAAGTTTTAATGCATAACGCTGTTAAACTATAAATCTTGAACAGACTTTTGCTTTTTAAAAGAGTAATCTAATTATCTCAATCAATTAGGATCGCGAGTACAAAATACCAACACATCTGGAAATTAACCATTTTAGAAGTTGTTAAATTTTTTAACACCGAATTTCGATTTTTTTTTTTAAATTATATAGTTAGCTTTTAGTATGTAGGTTTCTAAGCAAAATGGGTTAGCTTTTTATTCAACAAGACAGAAATGTGACACAGAGCAACTGAGAATTAAATACAACAAGCTGCATACGCTGTTAGATTGGTTAAAGCTAAATAAAGGGTAAGCACACAATAGATTTGATTTTTAAAAATGTTCGATTCTGTTAAAGTTGTAACATTACTGAAAGCAGGTTTCTTTTTTAAATGCCGGGTACTTAATTGTAGCTGAATGCGATTTTTTCAATTATTGTTTTTACTTTTTTAAAATCGTGTCTTTGAAAATCATAGTTTTGGAAACACTATATTTGTAAGGGTGGGGGGGGGGGGTAAATAGTTAGTGAAAATATAGTTATGTAATAGTAGGAGCGGAAATATTAAAGGTTAGATTTATTTGTGTGTTAGGTTTAGCAAGACGTAGCAAAAAAAAACTAAACACATGTCAAGCAGTTATTAAAGCCAACACAAACGGGCATGCTGGGATGGATGGTACCTACATGCATGTGAGTGTTGACCGGAGAATACTTCACACCACTGACCTGTCGCTTCGAAGATGACCGCTGGTGGTACATATCCCCGTCCCCGGGGCGGGGGGCCCCGAAGGTGGAGAACAGGGGGGCTTCGTCTCTCGGAGAAACGTGACGCGACGCCGACTTCACGTCCGCCTCCCCCAGGCTGAAACTCACCGCCTTGCCTCTGGGGTTCTGGAACGATTCCGGATGTGACGGCTTCACTTGAAAAAAGGATCCGTTTTCTTCTTGTGATCGGGTGTTGCCACTGGGAGGGGAGGAGAGGTTGTTCATCGTGTAATGCTGATGTTGCCCTGGTGCCGAAACAATTTCCAAACTACTAGCTGGAACTTTTTCTTCATCGGTTAGCGTTTCCGGCGCGTGGAGGTTGTGGAAGGAACCTTTGGGGCTCGGTTTTCGACGCCCGCTTCGGTCTTTTTGAAAAACGACGCAAATCGCGACGATGATGAGCGTGGAGAAGATAACGGTCACCGCGGCGACGACAGCGACGATGATGATGTAATCCTCCTGTTTCTGCTGTTCGTTTTTGACCAGCTCTTTGGTGTAGTTGTCATACTGGACGTCGATTTTCAAAAAAGTCGTGTTCGACCGCGGGGGTGTACCGCGGTCAGAAACGGTCAACCCGACGTCGTAGTGTTTATTGTTCTTCAGCCTGGAAGCGTCGGCGATCTTGAACTCACCCGTCGTCTCCGAGATCTGGAAAGCTCGGTCGTCGTTGCCGGACGTCACGGAGAACCTCAGCGTTCCGTTTTCATCGGCGTCGTCGTCGTACGCAATAATGCGGCTGAGGATGACTCCACTTTCTGGTATGTTTGAGATTAGAACTGTGTGGTTTTGTGTCTTCGGGAACAAAATGATAGGTGTATTGTCGTTTATGTCCGTAACTTCAATGACAACATTCGCAGTTGACATCAAAGGAGGATTGCCTTTATCGCGTACCATAACCGAGAAGGAGTAGTTAACCCTTTCTTCGCGGTTTAGCTTAACCGAGCACATAATCGAACCATTTTGTAAAACGGTGAACGCTCCATCCGCACCGTCGAGGGATCCGGTGAAAAAATACTCCAGCTGGCTGTTTACCCCTTCGTCAGGATCGGTCGCACGAAGACTGGCGATTATTCTGGTACCACCGACCTCTTCTGGAGTTTGAAATCGGAAAACTTTTTCATCAAACTGTGGGGCATTGTCGTTGACATCCTCCAAAATGATGACGATTTCGGACGAGCTTTCCAAAGGAGGGACACCTTTGTCTGTTGCGTATACGTTGAATCTCAAAACGGGTGTCGATTCTCTATCTAAATCACCAACAGCTTTTAAGATACCAGACTTAGAATCGATATCGAAGTATTGTTTGTAATCAGAGTCGATACTATACGAGATCACTGCGTTGTTTCCGGCGTCTTTATCAATAGCCGAAACTTGAAGAACGAAGTCGCTATTTTTTTTACCTTCTTTGATTGTCCTTGAGTACCTTTTCTGGGTGAATTCCGGAGCGTTGTCGTTGGCGTCTTCGATTTTAACGGTGAAATTGGCCGAGGCTTGAAGAGGGGGGTCGCCACGGTCGTTGCAGACGACGGTCAGGTTGTAGGAATCCCTAGTCTCCCTGTCGACGGTTCCCTGTAGAACTATCTTGTACCCTTTGTTCGGCACCGGCTCCATCTTGAAAACCTCGTTACTGATGTCGCAAACAACATTGTCGATTTTGTCGTCTTCCACGGCGACGAACGCGACAAAAAGTCCACGGCCGCCGGGCTCCAACACCGACACGACATTCTGGTCCGAGTTTGCGCCCACGGTTGTTATGGTAACTCTCGGGGGCGTGTTTCCGGTGTTGATGACGTTGACGCGGACGACCGTTTGAGTTTTCAAGCGCGGGGTGCCGTTGTCCTGAGCTTCGACGATGAAATCGGTAATTCCCGATTTTAACGGACCAATCAGGGATATGTTCCCGTTGGTAGGGTCGATGTGAAATGTGGTTTCAAGTTGGGATTTCTGAACGCTGCTGAAGTCGTAGGTCACCAGAGCGTTGTTGCCGTCGTCGGCGTCGGTGGCCGACACGCGCACGATGACGGTGCCCAGCGGGATTTTCCCGTCGAGCGTGACGTTGTACGAGCTGTTGGTGAACACCGGCTCGTTGTCGTTGACGTCGGTGACCTCGATGGTGACGGCGAGGATGGAGGAGAGGGGCGGGGAGCCCCCGTCGTAGGCCGTGATGGTGAAGTCGTATCTTGACTTCATCTCGCGGTCAAGCGACTGCTTCAGCTTGAGGTCAATCTCCGAGCTGCCGTCTAAAGTCTTGGTCGCCGTGAGTTGAAACACGTCCTGAAAGCTGTTCAACGTGTAACCTTTGACCTTGAACTCGGGGAGGTAATCTTTATCGTTCGCGCCGGTGATTTTAACCACGGTGTCGATTGAGTTCCTTTCTGAGACTTGAAGAACGATGCTCTCCCTTTCAAAACTGGGAGAGTTATCGTTTATGTCGAGGATGGTGAAGACGACAGATATTAGCTTAGAATCGAACTGTGATGGGAATTGTGATGACGCCAGGATGTTGATGGTCAGCGTGCAGTCTGCTAGTGCCAGACATAAAGCCTCGCGGTCGATTCTCTTGGCAACGTAAATAGCCCCACCCGTCCGGCTGATGTTGAACAGCGACCCGGGAGCGCTGGCCTGGTTCAAGATCCCGTACTGGAGCTGTTTCCTGTCTCGTTCTGACAATTCCGGAAATAGATTAGGTAACTCTGTCACGTGACCCACCAAAGTCCCGACGGGTAGCTCTTCTTGAATTTCAAATTTAGCATCCGGTGCCAGTGAAAAAATCAGAGTAGAAAATCCGGAAATTAATAACAGAACAATTTCCAAATTTGCCATTGTAGAGCAGTAAAGAAAAAAAAAGTTAAGTGAAATATAAAACACTTACAATAACATGTTCAGTTTTAACAATCCTTGTTATTTGTTTTATAAACTGTCTTTAAAATATATCACCCAGTCAAGAAATATCCAACTCCTACAGTACTTTCAACACAAACTGAAGCCTAGTTCGCTCGCTCCACAACTTATACTGTTAAAATCTCCAAACTTTAACGCGGATCTCCTCAGCTTAATTTAAGCTCCTCCCTTTAGCGCGCTGAGTAAACTCGGCGCTAGGTAGGGTGATCTCGCCTACACCGCCTCACTCCGCCACCAGATGGCGCAAATTCCTACACTTCCGAGTTCGCGCCCCTGGCTTAATCCTCGGCCTAATCCGCTGAAGCCGTACAACGTAAAACACGAGTTGCCTCACTTAAGATGGGACGTAATCCGGTATAGATGAGCTGACCTCTGGTCGACTGTTTACACACGGGAACACTTTACTCCTAGACGTAACAGGCGATTGGCTAATATCTTTTCCAAATCTCTTTGTTTACAAACTTGAATGGATTAAAAACTTAAACCAGTTGTTTTTTTTTAAACTCAACTGTTTTAATCTTTTGATTTTTTTCCTAAATTGTTTCGTATCTTGGAGAAACTATGTGGAAGTTGAATTTTTTAAAAATCTTTTATCAAGCTTACACGGCAAAGATAGTATAGTATGATAAGAGCGTAGTGGGGCGATTAATGTTGATTCATTCAACAACTTGTCTCCCTTGTGTACTCGCCTCCCTTTGTTTACGTTAGACAAAACTAGATTTGTAGAATTATAAAGGATTAGTTTTGTTCTTGAATAGCCTTGTTTGTCTCGCGAATACCGCTGAATGGCTGTTTTTAAAGAACCTCTTGACAGTTTTGAATTGATATACAGTCCTAGCAGTTTAAAAGACGTTGTTTGCGTAGCAACGAACTTATTTCTTTAAATAAATAACTGTTTTTTTTATACTTGTGATTTGCAATGTCCATGAACTGCTTAGCTCATTTAACTGTTAGTTTTCCAGAGCATTCCATGAGACCTAGAAAAAAATAAACAAAACAAAGTAATTAACAATAAATTAATCTGCAATAGTTCTTAAAATAAAACCGAGATCCTATACAAGAAATATGTTAGTTATTTTTATAAGCGTTAAAGCAATTGTTTTATTTTTGAAAGCGAGAAAACTCATAAACAAAATTAATTTAGATAAATGGGTCCTAACATTTTTTTGGTGGCCGGAAAGATGCGCAACGAAAAACTGCGCACCAAAAAAAAATGCGCAAAAGCATTTTTTGTTTTCTTAAAATCAAACATTTATAGACATTAAAAAAGAATGACTACATGCACAGTGTAGCATAGTAAAGAATATTTCTACGAAATATGACAAAATTTAAGCGTATTAGTATTATTAGGTTTTGCACATGTTTCTGTTGGCGCAGTTTTCCGTTGCGCGGTTTTTCGTTGCCGCCGTTTTCCGATTGCACATTGTTCTGGTAACCAAGTATTTGATATCAATGAGGAGTCAGGTATTATCCGCATAAAATATTTAACAAAGCACTCGACCAAATGCTACAACAATGACAATTAGAACACGAAACACGAATATTTTCCAACAAAACATTAATACTAACAAATGCTGAAAATTTAACTTTAGCAATAAATGAATGCTTAATTTTTCCATTTGTATGAATGACCCTTTAGTTTTAAAAAGAAAAAGTGTCCCCCCCCAAAAAAAAAATCCATAATGCATGTCATCTCATTTCACTGCGTTTTAATTATTCAGTTAACTTTCTTTAAATGAATGCAATACAAGGGACAAGACAAGACAACTGCTAAAGGAGAAATAAAGGGGAAGGAAAAAAGAAACAAAGGGAGGTAATGAAAGCCACAGCAGCAGTTGTATCCCTTGAGGAGCGCGCAGCATCGCTCGGGAAACCCCGATTTTTTTAATTACCGTCCCGTGATGCAGATAGGAGTGAAGACAGAGTCGCGCGCTGTCAAAAATGGCCGTTGTCAATGTCATGGCCGTGCACATTGGGTTCTGTCGCGATGCATTCTGGGTTTTAAATTGAAGTTTTAGGTTGGGGAGGGGGCAATTTTCTTGTTGCTTTGTGGAGTTGGTGGTGATATGAAATAAATATAAGTATAGTCAAGTGTGAAATAAAATGTACTAAATAGGTTTAGCCTAGCTTAGAGTGAATGTGACGATTGAAGAAAAATCATAATTAACCTTCTTGTTACAGTATCAATATATGTATGGCTGCTACGTTTTTAGCTAATAAATCTAGCTAAGCCATAGTTCTGACCCTAAAGTTTGTCATGAGCTTAATCTTGGTATTAGAAGAACTAACCCCTATTCTTGATTCTAACAGTGAAAATGCAGGAAAAGGCCTAATGTAAATACTTCCGTTTTAACAAGAACCAGATCTAGATCAATCTTGTTTTTTTTTTAAAGAAATTGTGTCAACTATAGCACACTACAGAATAAATAGCCTTAACAAATGTCAAAATTTCATATTAAAACTTTTTAACTTCTCTCCGAGGAAGCAGAAAAAAAAATGTTAAAAAATAGAGCCCGTGGCAGAAGGAATATCATCGTTTAGGGAATTCCCTGAAGGAACTAGATCCAATAAGGATTCCAGGAAAAGAAAATGAAAATTATATTGAATTTTGAAGACCTGGAATGAAGAATTTAATTACCAGGCGCGAACGCATGTGGGGAAAGAAGAAAAAAACTATTTCGGAATATTTGGCCTAGATGCTGAATAAAATGTGGAATTTTTTAACGCAAAAATTTGACATTTTTTTTATATTTCCATAGATGTCGATAACTTTTATCCGCTGTTTAAGTCTCGCTTTGAAGAAAAAACAAACATAAACCTATACTTTAAAGCAATTTCTTATCAAGAAATCTAAACATAAACGAAACAACCAATTATAAATGAATCAATCTTTGGGTGTTATTCTACAACCCACATGAAACAGGGGCCATTCATCAACCCCCACCCCCTTCCCTATCCACTAATCACACATATTAAACTAAACCCCGCCATTACTTAAGTATGTCCTAGATGAAATGTTGTTCTATTTCCTTCCAATAGAACTTTGTTATTCCTAAACAAACACACATCGTATTACAAACAAACCACAAAATAAGAAAACCAATTTTCCCTATTATACAGTGCATGAGGCAAAACAAAACACAAAAACATCTTTAAAAAATTCCAGGTAATTACTTCATCTATATAAAAAAAAATTCAACCTTTGCATTATCGTTGTTTTTACAAGTAATTACTTCATGTATAAAAAATGCGCACCAATTACATTAAAGTTGTTTTGTTTTTACTGTAGATAAAAAAAATATTCTCTCTTAGCTTTGTACCTGTATGCCATGTCCAGTCATATGTCACTGTCACTGACGTCACCACAAGGAGAGCCACTACGCGTATACTGTCACACTGTCACAAGGGGGAGAGTCGGTACGCGAACATTTTTTTTATTAATCGCTGTTGGTGTTGTATAGGGGAAGGGGGTAAAAAATGGCGTATCGCTATCGACATGAGTAACGTTTCAAACGGGAAATATTTGGTTCGTCTGTCTATCGTTGTCAGAGAACGGAGGTGTGGGGGTGTGGGGGGAGGGGGTGTTGATTGTGAGCTGGCTGTTTGTTATGGTGGATCGTGTTTCAACAAGCGGACATCGAGAACATTCTTTTGTTGTGACTGATATATGACGTCAATTTTTAAAACCGGGGTGGGGGGGGAGAGAGAGAGAGAGAGAGAGAGAGAGAGAGATTCCAAAAAAATGTAATCAACATTACATACAATTCTATAACTTTACCTACAAAATATTTACAAGTTTTGAATTGAATTTTTGGTTATTTAAAAAAAAATATATTAAAATTCATGGTTCATATAGTTTTGTAAAATAATTACTTTAATAAAATTCGACGTATTTCCAATTAAAAAAAAAAAATTCTACACTTGACAAAACAACAACAATTTTTAAAAAATTACCAGCAACAAAGTTTATGTGTGTGTGTGTGTGTGTGTGAGAGAGAGAGAGAGAGAGAAAGAGAGAGAGAGAGAGTGTGTGTGTGTGTGTTTAAAAGAAAAAGGAAAGCACAGATTTTTTTTTATTGAAGTGATCTCGATCTATAAAACGATCTGAATGTGATTTTTTCACACCCTGCGTAGTGAAGTGGTTTCATTAGTGATGGTATCGGTTTTATGACGATGTGCTCCATACGGTATGGTACATCAACTGGCCGGCACAAAGGGGGACACATCCAACGTCTAGTGACGACAGCAACCAATCAATGCTGCTATCGTTCATCATGTGATCCATCACCTTCCACTGCTGGTGACGCACTTGATAAAGTGTGTGTGTATGTGTGTCTGCTATTACGAGCGTGCTGTGTGCGTGGAACTGTGAGTGGTTGAAGGGCTTGTAGCTAAGGATTTGGGATATTTTTCTTTTTATTGTTTTTTTTTACTGCTAATGGAAACCGATCTACTATTTGAAGCAGCGACTAAGCCTCCTTAATTTCAGCATCAGGTTTTGGGTACACAACTAATATTCATACAAACAATTATTTAATCGAGCTAATTATATGTTACACGCTTTAATTTTTTTGGCATTCTGGTTCAACTATCAAACGTCTTATCTGATATTTATTGTTTTAGTTATGGTGGTGCTTTGGATAGATGGGACAGGTGAAGTAGAGTTCAGAGTTTCTTGCATGCATCTTTTCGGGGTCTACCACCCCCCCCCCTCGAACGAAATGAAATTTATATAGAAAATATATAATTTTAACAGTGTCCGCCCACCCCCCCCCCGAAAATTTCAAGTGCCCCCCCCCCCCCCATAGATAGTGTGGTTCAGCACTATACACAGTCTTTTACTTTCCCTAACATGAGTTACGTACTTATCAGAGCTGGGTGGACTCATGGAATTGAACCCGGATTCGCACTCGAGACTTTCGAGTTGTTGGTTAAATACTGCACCTAAAAATTGGAAAAATCCCTGAATGCTGCCCCATTAGTCTCATTTTAAACCCCAT